TCTGTAGTTATCTGTAGTTACCTATAGTTAACTGTAGTTATCTGTAGTTATCTGTAGTTACCTATAGTTAACTGTAGTTATTTAGTTACCTATAAATAACTGCAGTTATCTGTAGTTATCTATAATCAACTGCAGTTATCTTTAATTACCTATAGTTACCTATAATGAACTGTACTTATCTGTAGTTACCTATATTAACTCTAGCTATCTGTAGTTGCCTTTAGTTACCTATAATGACCTGTAATTTTATGTAGTTAACTATAAGGATCTGTAGTTATCTGTAGTTATCTATAATTAACTGTAGTTATCTGTAGTTACTTGTACTTACCTATAATTAACTGTATGTATTTACTTATAATAACCGGTGGTTATCTGTAGTTACCTGTAATTAACTGAATTTACCTATAATTAGATGTAGTTATCTGTAGTTACCTTTTAATTAACTGCAGTTTTCTGTAGTTACCCATTTCTGTAGTTATCTATAGTTGCCTATTGTTTACTGTAGTTAGCTGCAGTTAATTGTAATTACCTATAATTAACTGTAGTTATCTGTAGTTACCTATAATTAACTGTAGTTATCTGTAGTAACCAGTAGTTACCTATAATTATCTGTAGATACCTATAATTTTCAGTAGTTACCTACAGACTGTTTAACGATGAAGATGATGAAGCTCTTACAGTCTTCCTCCTTGTCTGACAGAAATCTGAGACGCTGGCGTGTCTTTGTGTGTGGGTGCTGACCTCTGTGGATGATGTTACTGCTGAAGAAGCCACGTCTCACCTGGCTGAAGCGCCCCAGCACCACGAGTGGTCCCTGCATGACCTGTCAATCATCTGGAAGACGCTGCTGGGGCGGGGCCTCGTCAGACCACTTCTCCATGGCTTTAAGCTCTTTCAGAGGGTAAACATAAGATTTTAACTTTTCAGTCTTTTCTTTTTATGGTTTCTTGTTATGGTTTATAAATAAGCGGATTATCTGGGAGACATGTTAATATTTAATATATTTAAACTAATCTAAAGCATGAACAGCAGACTGTTGATACTTGTTTCTCAGGAATGCCCTCTGGTTTTAATGCTGAGCATGTTTGAGTTGTGCTGCGACTACAGGAAATTCAAAGAGGCCAAAACGAAATTACTGGACTTCCAAAAGACGCTCATTACAGTGAGTTCTTCTAACGTTTTGTTCAGTTATTGGTCTGTGGTAATAAAATGTGTGTCTATTAGCAAAATATCTCATGGACCACTGCATAGATGTTAATGCCTATATCATGGCCCCTAACATATTGTGGTTGTATTTAAAAAAATAAAAAAATTAATTTGAAGATATAAACACTGACTATTAATACCTAATGTATCTGTGGAGGAGTTAGGTCCAGACTGAAGCTACTTTCAGGCTTCAGAGAGATGGGTTTATGCTTTAACAGTAAACTTACAGGCCACTCAGTCTTTACACTTCCTGTGCTGTAGCTCAGAAACGGCGTCTCGGCTCCGTCTAACAGCCTGCCGGTGCAGTGGGTGGAGAGCCATGCCTCTGTGCTGCTGCTCATGATGCTGCAGCGCTCCTCCTCTCAGTATGACCTCCATCGCCTGCTGCAGCTGCTGGCTGGTGTCGACAATATCCTCAAATCCACTGGTGAGATACTCCAGGTGTCACCTTTAACCCTCAGAAGACCTGCGTATTTCTGACATGTTCACTTCAGAGTTAGTCATGGATGCTACTGTAGATATCTGAAAACTTTTACCAGCTTCTAAAACAAACAGATTTTACCCTGTCTTTATTTACAGTGACACCAGATGTTTGCATACACTGGATGAAAAGAACAACCATTGTTGTCTCATTTTTCTGTTTTCAGTCTGATATAAATGTTTGTTAAATAATCTAAACAATGAGAGAGAATTTATTTATTACATTCTTCAAAGTCACACGTTTTCGTCCATGTTCTCAGTAGGATCATCTTTAAACTGACTTGGGTCAAATGGTTTTAGTTTCCTTCCACAAGTTTCTCTCAGTATTTTGTTGGATTTTATCTTGTTCCCCCTTTTTTGTCACTTCAGTAGAAAATGAAACCAAATATTTTTAGTTTATTTTTTTCTTCATCATCAGTGACCTTTTTTTTGTTCATCTGCAAAGTGGCCCTAATATGCCATCGTAGAATTCTGAGTTTACAGTCAGAATTTTTTTTTTTTTCCAGTGGCCCTAATCCTCTTTCATAAAAAACAGGAAAGTTCAAACTTCTTACTCATTTATCATGTTAAGATGTGATCTATAGAACATTTTACTCTGGACCATAACAGTGGCAGACATTGAACCTGGGCTTAACAACTCTAAAGTACACCTTTAAACACCAGCTAAAAACCCACAAACTCATTACACACTCTTTTAAGTAGATATCAGTGTGCAGAAATAAAATGTTACTAATTGTTTGTAGGTCCAGACTTCAAGAAGCTAAGTCAGCTGAGTCAGATTCTTCAGGGCTCAGGAGTCAGTCTCCCATCCAGACTTCTCCAGTGCAGTTCCACTTCTGTCCAGCAGGAGGAGTTCCAGCTCACTGTGGATGCTCTCCAAACCAGAGGCCACTACAGCCGGGCCAGGGATGTGGCCCTTTTGGCTGGCCTGCCTGTCCATCGCCTCCTCCTGAACCAGGTCTGACCACCCAGAACACATGGCTCACATTTAGACTTCAGGCTCAGCTCAGGTTACACAGAAAATGTCCAGTGGAGACGGTTCTTCAGTGCTTTTATGTTGAAGGCCAATGATCTACTGTTTATGTCAACAGCCTAACTTTAGATTTCAGCTTAGTGTTTGGTTAAAGAGCCTCAGAAACTGAAATGTTTTTATAATCGTGACTCCCTGTATTCAGTTTTTCCATCTTGTGGGTTTCCAAGGTCTTATTAAAAACATTTTTATTATCTTTATTAACATTTTTATTCCATCTTGTTTGTAGCTCTCTCAGGAAGTGACCTCCCAAAGGACTAAACAGCCGTGGAGGCGCCTGGAGAAGCGGGTCACGTTCTGGAGGAAGTGTCACAAGCAGCTGGAAGCCGACAGCACTGATCCAGAGTCAGCCTCTCAGTTTTTCCTATCTCAGAGTGAGTGTGGGGCCACCGACCCCCCTGCTGGTGACGAGGCCCAGACGAGGCTGCTTGATATCCAGGAGCACTGTCTGCTGCTCCAGCTCACGGCTCACTGGCTCGCTCAGATCAGCCCGTTTCCTCTGGACAGACTAGAAAAACTGGAGAAGAAGCTGTGGCTCAGCCGTGTCCAGAAAGATGTCCTCACTGCTGCGATGGAGCAGGAGAGCATGTTTAACCTGCCGCCGGCCGTCAGCCCGGAAACCAACGCCTACCAGGAGTTCCTCAGGGAGTTCTCCTTCTCTAACATAGCGGAGCTGAACGTGGAGCGGTACCTGGATCTGGAGGGCCTCCCGGCTCCCTCCCAGGAGCTGCAGGATGAGTCTGACCTGAGTGTGGAGGAGAGAGGGGTCCTCACAGCACTCGTCGATCAGTTACTGGATGAGGGCAGGATCCATGAAGCCAGCCGTGTCTGCCGCTACTTCTCCCTGAGCCACCCAGACGTGTGGCTGCTGCTGCGCTGTCACGCCTTGGCACGTGGAGACCTGAGACCTGACCCGCCAGAGGAGCCTGCAGAAGCTGCAGATGGACAGGGCATCCCTACATGTAAGCTTCCAGCAGTACACCCCCCCCCCCCGAGCTGCTGAGCGGCTGTTTAACGTCTGTCTCTCCTCTTTAGCCTCCTCACGCAGCAGCCTGTCCTCGTTTGTCCTGCAGCTCCCCGAGGACACGGTCTCAGTCCAGCTCCAGAGACTGATGGCTCAGTGTCGCCGTGGGAGCAACTACTGCAAACAGGTTCTGAGTCTGTATCAGCTCTCCAAGGTACACAGCTTCACACAACTACTACACAACACTGCATTTGAATAACTAGTTCCTGCTCAGCAGTGCTGGGCACTAGTCCCCTAAAGAGCAAATGTGCCAATTGCTGAGCTAAATTTTTCCCTTGCGCTTTAGGGGTTTTACTAATTTCTACAAATGATGTGCAGATTTGCACCTTCTAAGTTTAGAATTGAGTAGCGCTAATCACAAATAAAGTTTCAAGGTCGATTGTCAAACTCGTCTAAAATAAAGAAAGAGTGCCGTCTATATCCACTACGTTATGTAGCCACATAATTCATTGAAGTCTCATCATTTTCTAGGGATGCACCGTTATGAAAATTTCAGTTGATAGGGATTTCCGATATAATTATTGCTGCTATGGCAGATAACCGATATTTACTGATATTATACAAACTCACAAATTATATTATACATATACACAAAAACACACCTGGGTCTTTTCTTGATATGATAAATAAACAACCAGACCTCTGACATGGCTCTACTTCAGTTATTCCTGGCTGCGCAGCGTCAGTATCGCTATCATGATCAAACAGATGCTGCTCAACCAACCATCTCCCCTCCCAAAACAGAAACACAAAGCTTAAAGTGGGAAATAAATATCGGATGTTAATATCGGCCCAGTTTTACATATCGGACTGATACGATGTTCTAAAAAATGACCAATGTCGGCCGACACTGATAAATACCGATATATCGCGCATCCCTATCATTTTCTTCAACATTGGAGGAGAAAGCGGTCTCTTGTTAACACAACGGTGCTCAACTGTGTGGAAACAGCGACCCCCCTCTGACAGCATTGCTGTTCACAGAGCTTTACACTCTGACTGACCGTCCTTCTTCGTGACGGTTTTCATTTAGTAATTTAGTTCCCACAATTCTTTGTGTGGCAGGAAGCAGTTGGAGCTATATTATATACTTAAATGAGCTTTGGGAGGGTAGAGGGAGGAATTAATTTGTGACCCGCATCCTCACCACCAACTCGCTGTCTCACGTCATATTGAAACACACACAAAACTGTTTAAATTCACACTCTTATTTTGAAAAGAAGAGTTCCTGTTTGTCCTGTAGGCTACCCAGAATGCATTGCTTCAGTTTTACATTAAACAGTTTAAAGTTACTAATATACCTGCATGTTTTCTTATCGAAGCCCTACCATAATCATAAGAAAGGACCAAGAAGCAGCAGAACTAGCAATCCACACTAGTTTATTTCTTAACATCATGACTTAAAAGACTATTTCAACAATTCAACTCCCCAAACTGCAACAATCTGTGAAAGGAATTGATCATTCCACTAGTCGGCAGTATTGTGCAGCTGACCTGTCTTTTGATATCACTGGAATGTTTCCTGGTGACAGACTTGCACTTTGTTTAGCTTCCACTAAGTTTTATGGAGCATGTGCGCTTTTAAACTTGCAAACTTAAATAAATGAAATAGCGCTTTAGAAATTGTGAAGCTAAACTTTGAATTAGCACTGCCCACCACTGCTGCTCAGTCTGATGCTTCTAAATAATACTTTAGTACTAAAACACAAAAATACACCAGCAGTGTTATTATTAGACTGAACTTTTCCTGTTTTAGTTCAGTTCCCACAGTTACTTATTTTTACTAAATGACTGAATAATGAGATTTTTATAGAAAACGTTTTATTTTAAGTCACATGTTTACATTCAGGCAGATTACTTTGCCTTGAAATGTTCTTGGTTAACTTTGATGATGAAGCTTTTAACACTCATGGATCCACTTTAAGTCTCAAACACATCAAGAAAGAACAGAAAATATCCAAGATATCAGGATGGGGAACTGTTGACCTCCTTCAGTTTTCAGCTGCCTGAAGGTGAAACAGTTACAGAGAAGAAGAAGCACCATGAGGACATCCTGAGAAGGAGACGGTTCTGTCAGCCTGTCTCCATGCTGTGGTGTTGTTCCCACACAGGGTACCACAGTCAAATGTTTCTTTGAGGCTGATTTTATCACAGTGAGCTCAACGTAGAATCAGACTTGGATTAAAGAACTCTGGACCCACTTTAAACCCCTCCCCCCTCCGCAAACATCCTCTGAAATCAGCAAAACCCAAATCTGTCACCAATCCCTCCTCTCATTGAGTGGAGAGGTTACAGAAACACTTTAAACCAGAGGGATGAGCTCTGAGCACAATGCTGAGTTTCCCGGCATCTGAAAAATGTTCAGTACTTATTGTTGGAAACTAACAAAATAATTGACTCAACACACAAATCTCCAGCTTTTTATACCAAACTTAGCCTTTATCCAATGCTGATGGAGTGAAAGTGATTTTCTGCAGGCTGTGTTTGAAAGTTAAAATAGTGACTAAATTAAACCCAGATTTTAAGACAGGTCGACTGGAAGTAGAGAAATGGAAAAGGGGAGTGAAGTCAGAGGAGCAAAATCTGCTTCCATCAGCACACATACTGATCTGACCTAACAGTTGTTTTCTGTAGAGTTTAAAAGGGTTTGATTTTTATCAAAAGGAGAATTTAAAGGCAGTGGGTTTAAATGAAATCCCGTCAGTTTTTCCTCCTCACCGTCTCCTCTGCCTGCCAGGAGCTGCAGTGTACGTACCATCAGATCTGCCTGGACGACCCTGGCTGTGTTCTGGAGAAGCTTCTGCTACTGGAGCAGCCGGATTGTTTCAGGAAGGCTCAGAGCTTCATCAGAGCTCAGGGTCTGGGTGCTGAGGCTGTGGCAGAGCTGCTGTCCTCTGCTATGGTCCAGGCGCTGCTGGCGTCCACCCAGGAGCTGCAGCCTGGTGAGAACACAGACCGGTTTCATGATTCTGTCTTCCACGTGTCCCTTTTGGTTAAAGTTTTCTTTCTTTAAACAGGAAAGAAGCAGATTTTCAGGCCGTCAGAAGGCCAGGACTCTCTGGTGCAGCTGATCAAACTGTGTGATGACCCCAACCTGGTGGGACTCAGACTGCTGGAGAACCTCACCACCGTTCCTCTGAGAGACCTGAACTGCAGTACGACCCACACACAGGACTCCCTTGTCTGTCAGATCATGGTTGTAACTTTCAAACTTAACGTTTTGTCCTTTGTTCCTTCAGTCGTTGAGCTGCTGATTGTGGCTCACAGCTGTTTCAGCCTCACCTGTAACATGGAGGGGATCGTCAGGGTGCTCCAGGCTGCTCGTCACATCAGCCACACCTACCTGGCTCCAGGAGAGCACCACAGCCTGCTGGTGAGACCTGAACTTTATTACTTTACCAGTAAACTCTTTTAAAGGGATCCCCGATTAATTGTAATATTAGACCTTATATGATAAACAGATACTTTAACTGTAAAATAAAGACCATAAAAATACTGTAGGATGTTCAATTTTTATCATTTTTAAACTAAAAGTTTAAAAATATATTACACGGACGGGGCCATTTTATTTACGCGCAAAGCATTCTGGGTAAATGATGACATCAACTAGGTCATCAGCACGAGGCTGCTAGCGAGCTATATCCACCCTGAAGGTTAATCTTGGACAATATCTGATGATTGGCTCTTTTAAATGAAACCAGAGAGCGTTGACAGAGAGG